CACAAATCCTCCAGTATCCCCAAATATTCCCCAATATCCCTCCAGCATCCCCTCAGGATTCTGGATGGTCCCTTGCTCTACTCACAGCCACGCTGTGCTCAGCTGGCACTGGGTGCTGGGCTGGGCTGACACAGACAGGAGGAGTGAGTGCCCCCAGATCAGAGGGCTCAGTGAAGCACAAACCCCTCATCCCCCCTGCCCTGGAGCTGCTCCTCAGAGTGTCACAGGCAGGAGCAGCCAGGGCCCAGCTCTGCCCGAGGGCTCTTCCCTCTCATGATGCCTCAGGTTTAGTTTTTCTATTTTTCACATTCTATGCTGCTTTAGTGTTGGGTCTGGGCTTCACATGAGGGGATGGTGAGCTCTGTGCACAGAGCAGGGAGACAAAACAATTCCTGCTCCAGCTGGGGACCAAGGACAAATGATCCAAACATCAGCCCAAAAGCACAAACAACATGAACTAAAGACAGAAAAACAAGCAGGATGGGACTGCATGGGTTAAATCTGTAATTGGACGATTAACCCCAATATGCAAATGGACCAAAACTTATAAAAGTGAGAGACCCCATGACCTGTCATGCATTTTGGTTCACCTGGGCTGTAGCCCTGGCTGGTGTTGGTACAAACCCCTCAGGGCACAGGCCTGGAGGGAAATCTAAGCACAAGGATTGAACTGAAACCCCTGGAGAAACTGAGATATATAAAGCTACAAAGTGAAATAGAAATATAGATTTAGAATATAGATTTTAGCTTTTAGTAGAAACTTATACTCAATGCCTTGGGTATCTAATAAGCTGCAATAGAGAACAAAAGCTTTTTTGTCTTTAGGCACAATTCTGCCATAGTAGTGGCATTTCTATAAGGTTGCTTTGCCCCAGATAAAATGTAAATTGCTGGGCTCTTGTGCTGCCCAAGGTGGATCCATTGAGGCCTCCTAATAAATCCCTACTTTATTCTTTACCTCTGTCCAGCCTCTGTTTTAGCTCAGCCTTCACCAGGCATCACCCATGTTGCTTCTGCAGCCACGTGCTGCTCTCTGACTCTCAAATGCTCTGAGTTCTGAGCACCATTTGGAAATCCTCATGAGAAAAGGAGGATTTTGGCTCCTGCTGGGCTCTACAGGAGCAGACTGGCAGTGCCCAAGGTCTGACCTGCAGCCTCAGAGGATCACTGGGCTGGGGAGGAACAGCCTGTGCTCCCTGAGAACCAAGGATGTCACAGCACTCCTGTGAGCTTCAGGTGCCTGTGGATGTGACTGCCTGCTCACAGAAAGGCAGATAAGCCTTCCCATGAATTGGCCTGGGAAGTTTTAGGGAGGCAAAGAATGGTAAACAAATGGTGAACAATCTGCAGGTGGTGTTTTGAATAAGTTGTTTTTCTGGTAAGGTGTTTACCAAAGGGTGGTTCCTTGATTAACCAACTGGGTTACAGGTGTTATTGAGAAGCAGGCAGGTTCTGGCGAACAATGTTGGTTATAAATATCATGAGACTGTAATAAAAATGCATTTTTAGCCCTCTGATAGTGGATGGAGTGTGTCACTATCCCCACAGGTGACTCAAAGGCTGCAAGGATTCCAGGGAATCTGAAAGTTCACGTGAGTCAGGGTTCACGACTGCTCTGCCCTTGATCCACTGCCCTGTACCTGAAATGACCCAGGAGAAAAAATGCCCCAAGGAGCTGAACTGGGTCCAGTTTGAGCAGGGCACAGCGCAGTGCCCGGGGTGCCAGCAGAGCCAGGGCAGGGGCTGCCCGGCCAGCCAAGCACACAGAGGGTTAAATGAAGGATGAATAACTTGAACTTGCTCCTCAGCAAACCCCAGCGCTGCCCCAGCTCCCTCTGCAAGGCTCAGGCAGGAGAGATGGGGGCACCAGTGCCCACAGCAGGCTCAGGGGGGATGGCACTGCGCCTTGGCCAGGCCTGGGCAGAACCCACCCCCTGTGCCAGGGCCAGGATGGGCAGCTTGGCAGCGCCCAACACCCCTGAACACCCTACAACAGCACCCAAATATCCCCCAAAATCTCCAGCAGCACCCTAAGATCCCCCAGCACCCACCCAACATCCCACAGCACCCACCCAGCACCTCCCAACACCCCCCGACAGCACCCAGCACCCACCCAGCATCCCCCAACATCCCCAACACCCCCCAACAGCCCCCAGCACCCCACAGCATCCCCCAGCACCCACCCAACATCCCCAACACCCACCCAGCATCTCCCAGCATCCCCCAGCACCCACCCAACATCCCCAACACCCACCCAGCATCTCCCAGCATCCCCCAGCACCCACCCAACATCCCCAACACCCACCCAGCATTCCCCCAGCATTCCCCAGCACCCATCCAGCAACCACCTAACGTACCCCAACACCCACCTAACACCCCCCAGCACCCACCCAGCACCTCCCAGCACCCCCCAACATTCCCCAGCACCCCTCAGCATCTCCCAGATTGCTGAGCAGGGCATGAGCAGAGGCAGGAGAGGAGCAGGATGAGCAGCTCCTCCCTCAGTGTCCCATCAGCTCGGAGGAGGGAGCCCTTGCAGCGCTCTCCTGCCAGGTGCTGGCAGCCAGGTGCTCTGCAGGAGCTGAGCTATTTTTATTTTTTTTATTTTTAGTTTCATTCCATGGCATTGCACAAGGGCCAGGCGTTGTCACGGAGCTGCCCGGAGACAGCAGGAGGGGTCACTGGGGCAAGGTGACACTGCAGAGGCACAGGGGTGACCCCAGGCTGGCTCTGTAACCACGGAATCACTGCCCAAGCTGCTCCTTTGGGATCCTCCTCTTCCTCCCCTCCCTGTTTCCAGCGGCTCAGGGTGAGCTGGAACCAGGCTGGCCCAGAGCAGCCCTGACACTGCCTGGCAATGGCACATTCATCTCCTCCAGCTGGATTCTCACAGGTCAGGCTGTTCCCTGGGAGATGAGAGTGTGTTTGGCAGATTCTCCTGGGAGGGGCCTCACCAGAGCCCAAATATTCCCCTGGAACCCAGGAGAGGATTTTCCTCCATCCCCCTTGCAGGGATTTCATTCAGCCCTCTGTGGTTTGGACAAATCTGAATAAAAATCACACACTACTGACATCCCAGGGACAGCCCCAGCAGCACATTCCAAACCAGGAACACATTCCAAACTCTCTGATGGAACAGGGACACGGGTCAGGAGGGTTCCTGAGCCTGCACTGCACCACCCAACAGACTGGAGCTCTTCAAAGCTGCTCTCAGGGACAGGAGAGCTCTGCTGCAGCCAAGGGCAGGTGTAAAACTACCTAGGGATCTGTAAAACCACATGGGGATCTGCAAAATCACTTGGGGATCTGGAAAACCACCTGGAAATGTGTAAAACCACCTCAGGATCTGTAAAACCAACTGGGGATTCTGTAAAACCACCTGGGGATCTGCAAAACTAACTGGGAATCTGTAAAACGGTCTGGGGATCTGCAAAACCACATGGGAATGTGTAAAACCAACTGGGAATGTGTAAAATCACCTGGGAATCTCTAAAACCACCTGGGAATCTTCAAAACCACATGGGAATCTTCAAAACCACTTGGGAATCTGTAAAACCATCTGGGAATGTGTAAAACCAACTGGGAATGTGTAAAACCAACTGGGGATCTGTAAAACCACCTGGGAATGTGTAAAACCAACTGGGAATCTGTAAAACCAACTGGGGATCTGTAAAACCAACTGGGGATCTGCAAAACCACCTGGGGATCTGTAAAACCACCTGGGATCTGTAAAACCAATTGGGGATCTGTAAAATCACCTGGGATCTGTAAAACCACCTGGGGATCTGGAAAACCACCTGGGTAT